ATCACATAATATGATGGAACACGATTTAATGGTAATGAAGATACTTCTAGATTGGCCCAGTTCCCAATTGAACTTACGCATGCTGATGTTCTGAGATAGGACGATTTCCTTGTTATTCGCAAATTTTTTTCTACCTGTCTTAGCCAAAAAAGTAACGAACGTAGTGATGTGGCTTTGGTCGTACAGAAAAATTCGCTTTACTGGAACCGTTCCTCTGGTACTCCATATAAACTTGCTGCCATGAAATGAAACTTTCACTGTTGGAGAAGGACTCTAATTCTATAAAATTATTCCTACTACCCTGAAAACGTACGCCTCTTCCTATTTCTTTTTGCTCTCACTTTCTCTTTCTTCCTTACTCCTGTTTTTCTTCTTACGTTCACACTATTATACTTTTCACTTCTATTCTTTCTATTGTAGCGCAAAAGTTTTCATCAATATTTTGTTAAATAACTGTAATGTTTTCTTCTTCTCTAGCTTTCCCAGTAAAAATAATCAGCTGAAAGCGCTCAGACACCTGCTGAATAAATTTTTGCAGAAATAATTCTATAACAGTGATAGATGGAAAAGGGTTATTATAACTTTCTGTGATGTTCAGAGAACATCGTCAGAACCAAAGGAAATAAAGTAGGAATTGGTGTTTTTCCTAAATTTCTGGAGGTAATATGCCTCGGGAAACACCTCCTTTGGTAATGTGTTCCAGAGCCTTGCTGATCGTTGGATAAACAAGTCTCTGTAAGGGATTTTTTGTAGGTCTCCAAAGTGACCACGAAGGGGTGCGAAGCCTGAACTCGACGGGTTGATCTCGCGGAGACTGCCAAGGGAGGAACAATTGTTGATATTCTAGAATAGCATCGTCCATGGAAATATCTATAAAATAGAGCCAGATCGCCAACTTTTTCACGGTGTTCTAGAGAAATGAGTGAGTTTGTGAGCGAGGCATCACCATCGAGACGAATTGCCATTCTTTGTACATAATCCAACAGTTTCAGGGTATGTTTGCATAAGCATAATCAGCTGACTGGAAATGAGATTGCTCCTGGCCCGAAACAAGAAACCAAGTTTTTGAAATGCTCCTTTAGCAATTGATCTCACGTGATTTTACCAAGAAAAATTATTGCTGATAGGTATACCAAGCATCGAAATGGAAGTTTTCAACGGTATGGTTACTCATGACGAGTTTATGGTGGGCGCAGTGAGATCGACGTATTGTTTGCATTGAAATCTACCGAGTGATTGGATCTTCATTCGAGAATTGTTTGCCAAGTCCAAATTCATGTTGTCAACATTTTTTTCTCGTTCGTTTCTGATTTGCCTGTTTGTTATTGAAGCCCTGAAAAAGAAGTCAGCATGAAGGTGACTATCATCCGCGAAGCTGTGTACTGAACACGAAGTTGCTTTCAACAATTCTTTGATATGGATAGTGTTGGTGCTAGAATTGATCCTTGCGGAACTTCAGCATTTATGATAAGAGAGTCAGATGAAACTGCGTCGATCACTTCATTAAGAGACATGTTGGAGAGGAAACTAGCTAGCAGAGAACATATCTGGGGAGGCAAGCCATGAAATGGAAGCTTGGCGAGGAGTCCGTGGTGCCAGACTTGATCGATTGCCTTGGAGATATCAAGGGCCACGGTTGGGGTTTTACCATATTTTCCGATAGATTGCTGCTATATTCTTGAGACGTAAGCGAGCAGGTCACCAGTTGATCTCTGATGACGGAACGCATAATGCCTATCGTTGATAATACCTGAATGTTTCAGGTATTTCATGAGATCGATGTTGATAGCTTTCTTCATGATCTATGAAATAATATACAGCATTGCGATCGATCTGTAGGTGTTAGGTAGGGTCTTTTTGCCTTCTTCAGGAACTGGTTGTACTCGTGCAATTTTTCAGTTGGACGAGAATATCCCCAATTTGTTAGAGTAGTTGAACAACTTGCAGAGAACAGGTGTTAGTTCGGGAGCACATTTCTTGAGAACAATCGGTGAGATTCCGTCGTAGCCACAAACTTCGATAGTGTTGAGACCCAATAAAACTTTCCTTATAGTTCGTTGGCGAGAGGTGATCTGGGGCATATGACTGTCAATTGGCGTTATGTTTGGAGGTTGTTATCCCGATGAATCCAGAGTGGACTTTCCAGCATAAAAATGCGCAAAAATATTAGCTTTCTCCTGGGAAGTTATGGCTAGTGTTCCATGTTCCATGGTTAGAGGAAGAAACGAGCTGAAAGTGAAGTTCCTTTCTACAGCTTTGGCGAAGGACCAGAATGAACGGGATATGTAAGGACATTCAACAAGTTTTGATCTCATATTGGCATTATGAGCATCTTCTGATGATCGAATTGTCTTATTGCATATGCCTCTGGCCTCGACATAATCTGCTCTAGTCTCAGAGCCTGGATTTTTCTGCCATCGATGGAATACTACCTGTTTGGAAGCGACAGCTCTAGAGCAGTTTCTACTGAACCAAGCCTTATTGGAAGATGATCTCCTTGCACTGTTCGGTATGGTGGTTATTGCATCCCCAACATGATGATATCAACAATTGTCTCAGCACATCATGTTGATCTGCTGAGGAGAAACATGGAAGAGCTGAAAAAAAATATACGAAGTCCTTTCCAGTCGGCCGAATTGTAAAGCCACATGAGACGGGTAGGAATTGTGGTGCTGGATGGTCCATGGAGAGAGCAGGTTGTGGAGATGAGGGTGTGGTCAGAGTTTCCAAGTGGGGCACAAACTTCTTTGCTTGGCATGCTTGAGAAGATGAAGACGAAGACACGAACAATGAAGTTGATGGACCTCCACAGTCCACAGTAGTGCTCAGTGTTGTGGTTCAGCCGGTCAGCTTGACCGGTTATTACTGGGCTTGTGCGAATCATGACCAAGGTCGAGAGATTATCCCCCGAACTGTTCGATACTAGAAGCCGAAGGCCAAGCCATACCCTAACACCCTGTTGAAAAAATCAACAGGTTGATAAAACCTCTTAACAGACACGTGGAGAACAGAAAAACCTGATATCAAAGGGAAATATTGCTCACCAGTTTGCCAGTCATTGCTCTGCATATGACTTACCATCTGGGAAGGAAGGAAGGGCTTGGAGAACTGTCAGTTTGGAATCTTCATACGCTGAAAAGGCCGGCTGCAGGGCTTCCTGGGGACATCAGGCAGTCTCCGAAAAGTGGGAACAAATCCTGCACTGGTCCATGGCCAGATTCACAAATATTTTGAACAATTTCAAAAAATTACAAATTCCCCGAAGGGTTTCTACGGATTATACCGAGAAAAGAAATATTGCTCAAACTGGCTCAAGTGCACACCATGACGGTCGCCGAGAAAAAGCCTCGAAATAGCGGAAATCTCCTCCTAAAATTCCCTATCTAAACTCATCTTATCTAAACGAGTGCTTCCTGCCAAAATTCAGCGCCAAATATAAAATTCTGTCATTTCATTGGTCAGAAGAAAGATACCAGAATTACTAGGTCCAAACTAACAGAAGAAGTACCGAAGAAAGAAAAGGAAAAGAAGAGACTTCTTTTTCTCAGTAGTAATATTGTGCCTGAGTCCTACTCACAGAAGATGAGTGACATACTTGACATTAACGCCTGGATGACAATATTATAGCCTTAAAATAATTCCCAGAAAATAAAGAAAATAATTCTTCCAAACACCGAAAATACCATTTCAGATCGAAAAATCACCTTGAATAATCCCTGAAATAAACCAGCGACATGAGCTATATCACACCTGCGAACACAATGATAAGCCGTTTGTTTACTCTCGGAAGGGACAACAACATTGAACTATTTCTTCGAATTCTAGGCTTCTAGGATCAGAACGCCAGAAATCAAAGACTCCTGCAGCTTATTACATCACTTCCTATCGGCACATAGAATCTCAGAAGACATTACTTGTCATGACTGTTATTATTTTTATGCTTTTATTCAGAATTGTGTGATAAAGTTGGTTCATCTAAAGTTACATTCGAGTACTTCAGGATTATTTACCAAGGGTCAGACTGAATGTTCACTGTAAGTATGACTTCTTGTCCTATTCACAAAATGGTAATGTATAAAAAAAAGGAAAATGATTCTTTGCAACTCCGAATGTTGCACTAAAAATGATTTTGAAGCAATTTCAAATGCTACAACTATTGAGAAAAAAGGATGAATGGAAATGTGTAATGAATTGTGGAAATTGTGAAGATAATGGATTCCATTTATTCAATTCGCCAAAGGGAATATCAACACCATTCTTTTATGGAAGGAATATGGAAGCAAAATTTGTGAGGTACACATTGGGATTGATTTTTCATAAGAGCAGATTAGAATGAAACTATATTTTACTCCTATTTTCAAACAAAAGATTCTGGGATTCGTTTGGGATAATCTGCTGTTTCATTCATTTACAAAACCAACTATTTGAAAAAAAACATTGTTATCATCAAACGGAATGCAAATCGAAACTATCATAGCAAGAAAAAAATTGATTGCAAACATACGTAATGGAATTGAGAATATGATAACGAAACTGAAAAATCAAGTAAATTGCAATGCATTGACTGGCGATTTCAATCCCGAGTGAACTAGCTATACGTATATTCATAATATGTGTCTATTCTGTCATTAAAATGTTGTTACTTGCAATCTTTTTATTTCAAAAACTGTTTTTCTGCGAAAAGTGCCGTATCACTATAAATTGAAATGGTTTTTTGTGCCCTAGCTATATTTTCCATCTACGACTACGATTGATCAGACAGAAAATCTAACCTCTGAAATTGTATCAGACACTCAGGCATAATTAGGGAAATTAGGAAGACGAGGAGCAGAACATATGTCTCATTCTGTTATTCACTCAAACCATTGTGATATAAAAAAAAAAGGAAAGGGCAGGAGTTCAGGTGTCCGAACCCTCATCTAATAATACCATCCACTGACTGTAGTCACAGCAACTCACATTCCTTGTCGACAACTCCCATCTGTTCATTCAGAAATGTCAAATGACATTAGTATACATAATGACATAGTGAAGTGATTGAAAACGGGGAATTTTCATGGTTTGGTGGGTTGATTAGGTATTATCAAATTACAGTCGAATTCTCAACAATTATTCGGGGGGAAGGTTATAATCAAATACCAGTGTAAACGCACGAGCTCAAGAATTGGGAAAATATGGCACACAAACTGATTCTACAGAACATCGTTAACGAAATCCTCAAGGAATGTAAGAGAATGAACATAGAGCATGTCGATCATCAATTGTGTAACTTTTATGTAAGTACACATTAACTGATTTTTCTTTGAATATGAATTTAGATATTTTTTTCTCAAACTTGGTCAGAACATCGTACCAATTGGTGAGTTCGTAGTTTGTGGATTTCATTAGACATATTTGTCTGTGCTTACGTATCTTGGAGCGTACAACGTATAACAATCAGCGTATCTCGGGCTCGTGTCATTCACTGTAAATATAGATTTTTCTTCGAATTTCGAAATAACTTTGCTTGACTCATTCCTGATAGGTGGAAGGAATGATAGACCAACTAATATAATTTTTTTTTTAGTCATCATCAATTTCCAAGGTAGATTGATAGATAGATAGATAAGTTCTTTTACTTCAGTTGGATGATAGTAAAGCACTGAATTGGAATAGAACTTTCAAATAAACACGTTATCACGAAAAAATACTGACAGAGAACAAATGTCACTGAATTTACAAAGTATTGTGTTCTATATCTATCCACGACGGAATATTCCGTTAGTTCGACGAAATTTGTGTCAAGAACTTCATCACAAATTCTTTGTCAAGAATTTATTCGACAAACAAAATTTCAGAACGAAGTCTCTGAATCTGATCAAATCTTCATGCAGTGATGATATGGCGTACGGATTTCCTATCATGATTTTTATTCATTTGCATATTTGATTGCTGATTCTTCTACCTTGCATTGCCATATGAAGTGATTGTAGTAGGGCATTATTGAATGCACCTATAATTTGTCCAGAAAAGCTGCCAGCGCAATTTTCTAATGATCTAAGAAATGACTGATCAGAATATCAAACTTGGATAGAACTATGACGTAGGTACTTCATTTACCATAAATATCGAAAAGGTAATCCCCTGCGACGCCACTGGAATCATCATTTCGAATCTTATCACACCATAGGTAGCTTCTCGATACTGTCAACAAAATTATTGATTTCAATCAGAAGAAAAGAATTCTGTGTAGAATTTTGTTTTAACTTTGACACCCCATATCTTGAAAAATATGCATTTTTCAACCTACGTTCATAATTATGATCTTTCAGTCCTGAAATCACCCAAATAATCATCCCCTGAAGTTTGGCAACATACGTCGATAAAATTCTGTGAAGTTTGCGTTATTTTTGGAAACTTCTCGAATTGAAGAAATTTAAAGGGTATTCTATTCCAAGTTCATGAACTGTTCACTGCTACGTGTATATATTTTCAGATATTGAAAATTATTTTGTTGATTAGATAACAGAAGGGTATCTCCTGTGAGGTTAATCTTGATATTTTTTTACTATCAATAATACAAGGTGGGGGCACTTTATAACGTGCCGTCTGGTATGATACAAACTTCTACCTGCTCATTTTCATTGGCGCTCTAGTTACCGAGGATAATCTTGTCTTTCAACGGCAAGTACAGATAATTATTTCCTTTATTAGATTCGATCACCGTCATATAACTGAAAAATCACAGTATTAGACCAGATTAGATGATTCTTCCAACCGAAAAAAATCATGGTAGAATGAGAACTATTGATAATGGAAGAGAATAGAACAAAATTGAGAAAAAAATAAATTACGGTCGATCTGAGGACGAGAATTGGAAGGGGGTAAGCTTTTTAGGGTGAATAACGGTCTATCTCGATTCCTGACAAAACTATGAGTCCTATGGAAATACATTGAGAAAAAAATTCAAATGATCAACCAAGTTTTTGGTATTTGATTTTCATCTTGTACAAATAAAGATCTACTGAATTTTGGTGAAAACTTGCACTCTGCATGTCTCAACCATACTCTGATATTTTGATTAAGAATATTCGTTTTTTTGCCTTATTTTGACTTAATATGAAAAAAACACCCTAATTTTTCATCGAAAATTCTCGCCTCGAGAAATATGCTTTTCAAAATGAGTCGGTGAGCTTTCTGTTCATTGAGATCTCTACTTCCGGATGGTGTGAGGATTCGAGTTGGGTTCTTCGCATTTCCTGAGAACATTTACTACAGTGATGTGAATTTCATTTTGCACCTTCAGAAAATAGAGCCCGTCGACTCTTTTCAAGACGCACATTATTTGACGCTCGAATTTTCGATTGGAAATCAGGGTCCATTTCGATATGGTGAGGACATGAGTATTTCGATTAAAAAAAAACATAGTATATTTGGTAGATGAAGAGGTAACTTTACACTAAATCTCGGAGAGATTTTTTCTTTGTACGAGATGAAAGTAAAAAACCAAATACTTGGTTATTCGAATTTTTCACAAACATTTTGAGGTAATGTGAGAAAACTGAAGTCATAGATATTTAATCACCAAAATTTTTTTTGCCTCAAATTGAAACCCATATAATTATAACTTACGTTCATACAATCGATCTCCGATTCATGACCACAATGAATATTCCGAATATATTGGACGTCCGGTTATGTTCAGTGGGACGTCCAATTGATATCCATCGAATAACCATTTCCGGAAAAATTGGATATCCAGTGAATGTCCATCTCGATGCAGGTGATGAACATGTATATCATTGAAGTGAAAAAACTTGTGGTTTACGGGATTCAAACTCGCGAACTTGGCTTATCAAGCACTTCCAATAGGTTATTTGATATTTCCAAATATTTCACATCGACAATTCCGCACGAGATTTTGAACAAGAATACATTTTAAAAGGGAACAATGGAACAATCCTTTACGCAGTGTGAAGTTAGCTGGTAGGGGTAGGGGTAGTGTTTGTTTTTTGATAAAACTAATCAAGCAGTTACGCTACTCCACTGGCCGTTATGCTGCTTGCGAACTTATGTTCAAAATATTCACAGAGGAAGGAATATACTTATGGGAAATAAGATTACACATCAGTCTGATGGTGATTTCGAACACTCATTCATTATTTCGAAACCACTGAATGCTGAGCCGTATTCCTCACTCCGAATGAACATTTTATTCAAGAAGGCATATATTATCGCAGTTCCTCGATCAATAAAATAGGTACCGGTCCAAACCTTCTGCTGCCTTCAAATTTGTTATCATTATTTATCACATGAAATTGAGATAATGATATACTCCTTATTCGAACACTGAAGACAATAGGGTATACGCGTGTGAAAATTTTACACTGGAATATATTTTTGTTCCATTACTCATATGTATAGATGTCGAATTATACATCCGTTAAACATTATTAAGCACCAAATATTCAATAATTTCTGATTGAAAATCATAATATTTGCAACTTTTCGACCAACAGCCGAACTGCAGCGATGATTTCCGACTGGATGTGGCTGTTTTTATTTGTCATGTCAAACATGCATGTCCGAGAGATAGGAAATAATATAAGAAGAGGCAGTGAGGTTATGAATATCTGAGCTTGTATAGTTTCTATAATCTATCTCAATTATATGATCTCAATATTCTGAATAATAATAACTGAGTAATAAGCAGATATCTACAATAAGAATGATCAAACAGGACTTCTTTTTGCATGTTGTTTCAAATATATATTACCACCTATCAATTCATATCTCAAATAGTTTTCTATATTTTTTTTAAGCTGAAAACGAAATCACATATTATATATTATCCTCCTCATAACATGAGGAACATAATCATTGATATATAATGGGTTTCACTAGGACATACTTGAACGTATACTCACTTATTCGAAATGGTCTTCACAAACAAATCCTCTGGTTTTCTCGGAAAAATCATTTCTATACATGACTTGCAACCATAATTTTCTTTTATCTTCATTTCTATCACTCGATCCCACTGGCAATGGAAGGAATATTTTTCCTGATACTGATACTGATACTTTTGTTGATGAAAGGCTTTGCGGCACTAAACAGTATTTGGTATAAACATTATCATTTTCCATTTTCAAATTTCAAATTTCTGGCGTTCAAAACTGTTTTCTTCTCCTACCTCTTCTTCTTCCTCTTTTTTTTTCAATCTGAATCTTGTCACTCTGTCGCGCTAGTCTATGGCGGTGCGGCCTAATACTATGACGTCATAATATTAGTGATGGGCACCAGAGTCACAAGCAAATTTGAGATTAATGAATGATATCCAATGTTATTATAAGGAAGAAGGAATATAATTTCGATTAAACAAAAAATCATGCGTATTCCTTATTATGCTATTGAAGTTATTACTGAGATATTTCTCATTGCTAACGTTACAAGAAATCCTATAACCGTTACACATTTTCGAATATAAGCAGCACATTGATATTCCATGATAGCAGTAACGACTTTGCTCGAAGTGGATTTTCTTCTCCCTGGTAGGTATACTGATTTCGGTATCAGGCAGTCACTCTGGAACAGCATGATTTTTCATCGAATTGTTCAGCTGAATTAGTGCTAGTGCCTATGACTGCATGTTCCGTCGCATAAAACTGCACTAACTACCAATAATACAATAATTGTCAGCCCGCCACGAGAATTACATTTGACGAACCTACTTTATTTAGCGCCTACTCATTGTTATTCGATATTTTGCCAATGTTTCCTCCTCTATGAGCATTCGTCAGACATCTTGCGTCCCAAAGACATTTTCAACCATTCCCAGTTGGACAAACCCATATAGAAAACGACGATCTCGACGACACGACAATCACAAATACTCGAGTTATTCTCTTCAATCCCCTTCATTATTCAGAATATGAATCAATATATAGAATGAGAACATTTGTGAACGAATGAGAAAACCTTCAGTGTCCCTTCCAGTGCTTTTGCTTTCGTAGATCTGAGTTCTTCACAGTTATAACTAGAATTTATGGAATCATAAAGGTGTGTTCAGTCAAGATATTTTGACTGAAATTTCAATATTTTATACTCAACATCTCCTTCTTTCTTGTTCAATGGAATTATAGGAAGTAGAATAGGATTTGAGTCTTAATTTTATATTCTGTTATAACAACAATCCTGGAAAATAACTAAATAAATACAGCTAGAAGAGGTCATGCATTATATGATCACATACTAAGATCAGCAAAGTTCCCTACCTATGATTATGAATTTGCCATACTCTTATTATAAGATGAACTCACTAGCGGTAGCAAAGTCATAAACCTACTACAGAAACATCGTCTGATAGCAATACACAGATGCACTCGCTAATGGAAGCATGGCTCTATATCTAATAATCGCAGGTGGGTTATAATCAGCAGAGTCGACTTTGCAATCACAAGTGATTACTTGATTGTCTCCAATGCTAATAAAGTTATTTGCTGGGATAATTGAATTTCTAACTATTTTTCATAGAAATTTTCGAGGAAATTTTCCTCAGTGAATTTGAAGAATTGAGTCCCCTAGAATTCCTTCATTCAATTAAATATTTTCGTCCAATCCGGACGAAAACTATGAATGTCCCTAAACGGATGTTTAGTATATAAGTGATTGATGGACATCCATTGGATGTCCATTCAGTATCTATGTTCGAATAGAACAAGCAAAGACATCATCATAGAATAACCTGTGCTTAATAGGAACCCATGATAACTCCTGACCTCAGATCACCTGTAATCTATTTTCCCTGTCATCTTTGTTATATTCTCTTTTTTTTCCAATGGATTGAATTATACTGTATTTTTCACTATTTTACAGTTCTAGAAGGCTTCAGCACTGGTCGATATATTATGTTGCAGGTGGATTTATTGATGCTGGATCCGAACTGGGGTATATCCGACCAAATAATGAGAATCAGATCAGACGTCCAACAGTTCATCCATTACGTAGTAACACGTTTGAACAATTCAGAACATCCGGCAATGAAGGCGCTAATGATCGAGTGTCACTTCGAAAGTCAGTTCGATCATTTGGAAGACAGCGCAAAATTGCACAGATTACAGAGCGGCGAGAAGCTGTATTCGCTCAAACTGGCAATTCTAGAGCCAGATAACAAAAATGACGTCGACTTTTTCTTCGAGCACTTGGCCAAATATATAGCGCTGGCTTCGGGACTTGGTGATCCAACCCAAATTGCGGTAAACCACTCCAAGTAGAACACATATATTGGGACAATATCGTTGCGATATAACGAAAATATCGACAAAATATTGTGAACGTATTATTGACGAGAAAAAAATTTTGAACATTCGGCGATATTGGTACAATATCAGTTTCCAGATGTGGGTAGTATATTAAAAATCAACATGTTGCAATATCGTCTCGAAAAAAATGGTGAAATATTCTCATAACAATATTGGTTAATATTTGTAGAGTTATATTGGTCACAAAATGTGATATCAATATTGGCGAGAAATTAATGATGAACATTTGGCAATATTGGTGCAATAATCATTGAAAATCTTCATGAAGCTATGTTGTCTCGAGAATATTGGTAAAGTATATCCAATATCAGTTGCAGAATATCCCGCACTGTGCGGCGTCGGCGTGTTTGAAGTTTTCTTTGAAGTGACTGCAGCTGCGGCACGAGATTCTGCAATTGTTTTTGGATGAACAATAGAATATTTTCATTCCAATAGTGCTGGAATATTTGTGGAGTAATATTGGTCACAAAATGTGATATCAATATTGCAGATGAATGAACAGTAAACATTTGACAATAATGGTGCAATATTAGTTGGACATATTGGTACATCATTGAATATCATCATGTGGCTATGTTGTCTTCAAAATATTGGTGAAATATTTTCATACCAATATTAGCGAGTTATTCGCATCAGGAATAATCACAAAGGTCAGCTCAGCCGAAGTGCAATGGTATCCCCTGCCCTGGGGAAGCCGCCTTGTTGATCACGGATAACCCCAACTGGAGGTGATAATGCTTTTCAATCGTCTAGAGCCAATATTCATATCATCTCGTCCGATCGGCAATGGAAGTACGTTACCAATCATTTATAGCGCCATCTATCGACATCGGTTTGAGAGTGCTTGATATGGAATAAATATCGAGATTTATATATCGATATTTTCAAAACAATATATGAACGATATTGCTTACATTATATAGTGAATCAGATATCAGCCAATATAAAATGATACTATTATTTGCTGAATATGGCTGGAAAACTATTCCACCGATATGCAATTGAACTTGAAAATACAATATTATTTTTCTTTTCTATGACCGATATATTGAATTGTCGTCATTGATATTCATCTTAGAAACAATAAGCATTTCATGTCTTTCACATGATATTGTCAGAACTATATCAATCAATTTGAGTAATTATGATGTTTTGAATATTGTCGGAACAATATTGAAAAATGAGCCGTAGAAATCGATAATACAATATTGCATAACTCATTTCAATCATCATTCAATGGATGTAGATTGAAGATATGAGATAATTCACAAAATTACACAGTACTAATAGCTCTATGGGCAATTACGAAATGAGTTACAAATTCGTATCTTTCATGTTGAACCACCTGGAACTACAAAATATCATGTTCATGCTGTAAAAATCGAGGTTGAAACCCACGAAGTAATGTGAAAAAATTCAGATGAAATCTTCCCAAGAACACTCTTCATCTCCTGAACCAGCAACATCTTCGTCAGTCATGTACGGCTGAATTAATTGAACAAAAAATTTCAACTCTTACCTCCTCTCCCTATCTTTCCTAGAGACAAACGATGTTCTCCGAGCATTATAGGTATTCCTTTTCGTGTGCACCAAGAGATGGAAAAATAGGAGATCAAGGTCATTAATGATGATGCATAAATCATTCTGAAATAAAGAAAGAGTAATGGGGACGTGTGTATTATGTGTATGTCCACACAATAATGGAAGTTCCCACAAAAATGCGTTTACATCTCTCAGGGCTCATGTTCACACAAATGTTCAATACAACGTTCGCATAAGTTAAAATAAATCCTTCATATTGACACTATCCATTCTAGGTGTACAAAGAGGTTGAGGTAGCAGTCAAGAGTGTTTTGACTATAGATGAATTAAGTGAATTCTGGTGTGAGCTATATACTGTGCGTATGGAAAGACTTTCGCACTTGGTCAAACTGGTTTCTGGCATAAGATTATATAATAAGGATTGCAAAAGAGGTGGAGAGGGAGTACCTGAATGTGGGTTACAGATCATTACTATCTCAACAATAGTATATTGTTAAGCTCAATATCTTTTCCAGTACCCACGTTATTATTGAAAGCTATAGATGCTGTGAAGGATAAAATACAAGCGATTCATGACAAGATCACTGAAGAATGTTTGGAAGTTTTGACGGATGTGATCAAGAGCTGTTATTATCCCAGTAACACGAAATACAGAGTGGTGTTAGCAGAACGTATTCCAAATTATGCCGACAGTAGTGATCTAGAGTATTGCAAGGATCTTCTTGTGCTATACAAGATTTATCAAGAGAAACTGAGGTATTATCTACCGACAATCAATCCATTTATATAAAGGGATGAATCAATTATTGTTTTCATTGGATAGAAGATTACGACAAGTTCCCAGCAAACGTTGAACTACAGGAAAGTTGTTGGCCCAATGCTTTCTTTGCTTGGGGAATGACTTCTGCGGCAAAATTTTATTGGCCTTTCACATTCTTGTAGTCACTTTTAAACTGAAGCAAATAAGCTATGAACTTCGTCGTTTTATTGACTTTGGTGTTGCTGGGAGATTCAAGAACTTCGTTTACTCAAACTTCATGCCAATGCCGATGGGCATGCAATCATACCTACATGTTTCAAACAACACTAATTTACTTTTGAGTATTCTCCCAATCATCCAAACGTGAATACGATGAAAGAATAATTATTCCTGAAAAACTTGGAATGTACCTTCCAAGAATCTGTTCATCTTTTGGGATAATTATATGGTATTATAATGGGGTCGAACACCTGGAGAATGTATCATCAGCGCTACCAAGTCATGACAATATATGAGGTTAACCACCTCCAAAATGAAGATCCTATCACATCTCAGTCTCATCATCCAAAGTCGAGATATTTTCAGAACTGGGTTCCAAGCCAGTATGGAGATGCAGAAGGCCATTAACCTTCAAGCGCACGCAATGATAAAATGAACTTGGTTACACGAAGCGGTCTCACAGACCATAATCATAAGGAGTAGCTATAATTATTAATAATCACTTTCGGGTTATTGATAACACTTAATGGAGTCTTTATCAATACATGCATCCATAGAAATATTGCATCACTAAACAAAATCATTATTCTTGATATAACTAATGATATCTTATCTGGGTCCTCCTCATCAACGAATTCATCATCTGTTTGAACTTCTTTAAACAAACGTTGAAGTCTCTCAACATCTCTTTCGTAACTGGCTGTAAGTATAATAAATCTACACATGAATTGTATGAAATTTACATCGGCAAAATGTCATTTCACTAGCCTGGGACCGCAATATGGCGTAGCTCTTGTATTTACTCACAATAAAAAAATTGCGCGAACTTGGTCAATCTACCACCATCTGACACTGGAGGTATACCAAAGCTCTAAGCGCCTGGCAGTAGATTATTACAAAATTATGGCAGATATTCACTCTTGATGGTCTGAGAGACCACGCGCATGCGCTTAAAGGTCAATGGAATGAATGCCGGCTGATTGACTTTCAGGAAACCGTCGGCCAGAGTGTCCTCCTTTTGATGGTTTCGTACCAACGCTAGCCATTTTGCCGCAACATGTAGTTTTGGGAGTAATTTATTGTATTCAGTTTGCCGCAAATGAATGTTTCCTGGGTTATGGTCTGGCCTGTGATGACAGATTCTGTGCAACGTTTTCTCAATGTATACATCTGTCCAGTTATGATTTTCATGAATTTCCACATAAGTTCTATGGTTTTCAACATGTTCTAGAAATTTATCAAAATTTATATCCGATTCCAATTTAGAATTCTTCATTTTCAGTAAATTGGTCTCTGAGGTAGATAGAATCAAACAAGCTCATGAGAAAATTGAAACGGAATATAATGAGATCCTCTCATTTTTGCATGAGAAAGTCATTCCAAACATGCATATGAGAGCATCTTTTATTTTCGTAAGTATGATCAAGATTGAATTAATCATATTTCTATGAAATCATTACCATCATCAAATTCATTTATTTTATCTCAATTATTTCAAAAATTTCAATCAGACATATGGAACAATACAACAAACGAAGAACAGAAGATATATCAATTTCTTTTTTATATATATTCTGGTTTCCACGGAGATGAATATCCTGTGAATTAATATCTTTTTTAATGAAACACCTTGATCTGCTCTAATGACATCATCAAGTTTATGTTTTCAATAACCATCTGAAAAAAGTGATGTATTAATATTTTATGTCCAGTAGTACCTATGATTTGATTCACTCACCTTAGTTCTTTTTCTTTCTTAGGCAAATATCATCAGGTGCCTATCTAATTTCGTTGCAAGTTCTTTCAAATTGTTATCATTTGTGATTGCTGAAGCCTGGACAAACTTCCTCTGATGCTAATTCTACTAAAAATTCAAGAGCATATATACAATCTTCTATACATTCTGAAGATGAGTCAAAATATCTTTTAATGTGACATTTTTGTTCTGATGATATCAAGTTTCTGTTCTCGATAACCTCCTGAAACATATGATGTATTCATATTTCATATCCTTACTCTTGGTCCCCAAATTCTGGGAAGAATTGCATCATTAACATAATATTATCCTTATCGCTTTTGCTTGTAATCTTTCAAATTTATTGCAACAGTTTTTTCTCGAAATCATTTCGTTTCTTGAAGCACTATTCATTTTATTTCGGCAAACTACGAAAGCGTGTTTCTTAGAGTTTCTTGATTTTTCGTGTGTATTCAATTTTGACGAACAAATTATAATCTCCGAACCTGAAAACCCCCAGTTACTAATTTCTAATAGAATGGAATCATGATCACAAAACCTGTTCGCTATATCGTATCCGCTATATACAATATTCCAATTTTGACGTAAGAATCACAATTCCTGACTCCGAAAATCCCAGATACCAATTCCGAATAGAATCGAATCATATACCTCATGAGTACAAAACTTGTCCACTATATTGATCTACAGTCTTGAATTTTCCAATTTTGACAAAAGGATTATTATTTTCAACCCCAAAAACCGTCAGATACCAATTTTGAATAGAATAATATCACATTTCTTACAAAAATCTTTCGCCAAATCAGATCCGACATCTTAAATTTCAAAGTTTTGACGAAAGAATCCTGATTGTGACCCCAAAAATCCCTAGATAAAAAATTTGAAATACTTCCAAGAACTCATATAACCTCATCCAAGTTCAAGAAAAATTCAACACCTTCCTCCTCTCCCTTTACTATCTAGATACGCACGATGTTCGACGAACATCAGAACATTATTGGAATTTATTTTCGTGCGCTCCAAGAAGAAATCAAATCGGATCCTTATTACGAAACTTGTGTGCCATATTGAATCCGCCATCTTGAATTTACCAATTTTGTAGTAAAGAATCTGATCATGATAACAAAACTTGTCCGTCTATGTGCAGCCGCCATTTTGATTTTTGTATATCAAATATTTCATGATGCATTGTCACCAGAATAATGTTTACCTGCAAACGTTCAAATCAATATAGGTCTGTTTGAAGTTGGTCAATATTAAGTTCAGTGGGGTCAGTTACATACATAGATAGATGAACAGATACAGGTGAAGCTATAATAATGGCGTGTTGATAAAAAATAGTTGCGTTTTTTACAGATTCTCTCTTTATCTTGATTGAATAGAAACAGTTATATGTATATGTGTATATTATTCTGATATATAATGTATATTATTATTATATAAATAAATGTGAAAAGCTCACAGTCATTTCCACCCAATGTTCATAAAATGAACAACAATGGTAGATTTCGGGAGAAAAACAACTACTTCCCTGGCTAATGCCACGCAGGATATTGAATTACATCCTCCCGAAATCTATGCATCGACTAGTTTAAACGAATACTGATACAAGTGATTCTTTCCTGAATGCCTATTGATTTCGATTAAGCCAGGCCGCTAGACAACCACAGATCGGTTTCGAGCTCTTTGACTCTCATCAGTGCAGTGTAGTCTCCAGCCAGCAGTCGTAAGACCGCCGACTGAGCGAAGCCTAGCCAAACAAAAATCAATTTGGCATTATATCCACCCCGAGGCGTCTTTCATCGATAAAATGAAAGTAACGCCATCTGAGTAGAACCGAGGAAAGAATCACTCCAAAACTGAAATTCCCATACGGGAGTGGCTGGCAGCCCGACTGGCATTTCGTAGTTATTATTATTATCCTTATCCTCCCTAGGAACGCACGATGTTCTTTGAACATTATAGGGATTCCCTTTCGTGCGCTCCAAGCGATAAAAAAAAATTATCATTTTTATACAGCCAATTTTTGAACACTTATTCGAAGAATGGTGTGAACTTCAGAACAGAACCGTAGTATTGACAGAATTGAAGCACACATTTGATAACCTGTATGCTATGATGTCCTCCATGAATCTTGAAAATAGATTAATCAATAACTTCAATCCAGACAATCGAAGTTTTTGCGTTCGGAGTTTTAGTCCGCAAAAATACATGAGAACAGTCAAAGATGGAATAGTTCTATTGAAGAAAGAGTATATCAGTTTTTGGGCTAAGATGAAGAAAAGGTATGAGGTGAGAGCATTTAACATCGGCAACTTTCGTTTTTTTATTGAAAGTATATTTTCTAGTACGAAGGCCACTGTTGTTGGACTCTAGTAACTACAAAAGGATTTTTAATCAAAGGAAATGACGAATATGGTATCGTCAAGTATAAAACTAAATTTTATACATTCAATTCACCATATGGACTGCTGAATTTCATCAGCGATCCAGAATAGTGAGTATGAATTACTAATGAAGTAATAATTGTTCTTCAGAAACGAAACTAGATGGGCTGACATGTGGATTATGGTCGAAATGGTTGAAGTTGAGTTGATATTGTATATGTTAAGGAATATATGTTGATTATTCATAACAGAAATACAGGGCATTATTTGAATTCAGACCGAAACTTTGATGAACGATATTCAAGGAATGTTAATGTTATCGCGAAAAAATTACAGATCTGGACTTGGAGGACTAATTTTTTTTTAGAAGTAAAAATTTTGACCTTCTTGATCGTGATCTTCAAAAACTTTTATCTGACTGAAACATAAGAAAAAAACGCTACAAGTGTGTCTCATCAATTTTTACGGCACACTTTGACCGATTTGGTAAAAAAATAGATTTGATCCTGGCCCACTCCCAACTCTCTACATTCGTCCGAGAGTAGTATCTATTCGAATATTTTTTGAAAAAAGGTATCATCCAATGAAAAAATATTCTCCGAAATATCGAAAATTGTTTGGAATTCATGAATTTATCATCAGGAAGAACAGTCTGCAAACAATGAGAAAAATATATCGAAGACTGGAACCTTTGGCACGATAATACACTACACTGTTTTACCACTAACCAAACCGATTCTTTAACGCCTCGACACGTGTTTCGCTAACTATGTTAGCATCTTCAGGAGAAGATTAAAACATTGTAGTGGATGAGAAAAATAATTAGGTCATGAAATGTACGGCGTCCACTAGGTTGGACATATAGTTATTTCGATCTTGACTGAGGCACAGTGAAATATGTTGTTAATATATATTCACATTACTGATTGTAGGTGATAATAGCGCCTACAAAGAATGTTCCGACAGAAACAATGTTGAAGTCTTCAGCAATCATTTTCAATTAGTGCAAATATGATTTAACATGTAGAATGAACCCCTGAGTTCTTCTCAGAATGTGGTTACACTGGAGATATATCAAAATATGTCTAATATTGCCAACCATGAATAGTTTATGATGAAACATTGAATATTTCCATTGCTTACAACTACTGATAATTCCTCTTGTCCACTATGATAGGCATTATGCATGAAAGGGTTGAAAGAGTTGTCAATAGTATATGATTCCTGCTGGTGGAATATCTTTGCATTTTTTTTATTTTATTTACCTAAGCAAGTCTTTGACTGTGGCCCCCTTCGAATAGGAGTTAGATTAGATTAGATTTAGAATGGGGCCTTCGGGCTATCTGCCTCCACACCGCGACCTTTTCAGATCTATTGTGTCTGCCCTCAAAATCGATTAGAGTTCTTCGGCTAGCCCCGTCTTCTCTATGAGACTCCATAGGCTAGCTTTCAGATCCCCTGTGTATCTCTGGGCTTCTGGTTTTTCCTCACCCAGCGTAAGGAACCTTAGTCTTGACAAGCCCTCACAGTGGCAAAGTATGTGTACTGCTGTTTCCTCCTCTTCCTGACAGAACCTGCACAGCAGTTCTTCAGTCAGACCTATCGTACTCATGTGTTTGTTGAGCCTACAATGCCCTGTGAGAAGTCCCACTAGTATTCTAGTTGAACTTCGCTTCTGGCTTAGTAGATATTCTGTGAATGTTGGCGATGGTTTTTTAATAAACTCTTTTGCCTGTCTCATTCCTGGCGATTTGTTCCACCATTCTTGAGATTTGGTTTGCATCCATGATTTGATACTAGTCTTTTGTATAGCTTTCGCAATACCACAGAAGGGTTCTGGGCCATTCAGAGCTTTGTTTGCTCCTGCTCGGGCAAGTGAGTCTGCCTCTTCATTGCCCTCGTACCCTGTATGTGCTGGTACCCATGCTAGAGTCAGTCTGTTCTGACTGCCCAGTGCATTTAGGGTTTCTAAGCAGTCCCATACTAGTTTTGAGTTAACTTGCATAGAGTTGACTGCTTTGATTGCCGCCTGGCTATCTGAATAGATTGCAATGGTTTTGCCTTTAAACTCTTGCCTTATCAATTCTTTCACGCAATGATGTATTGCAATAATTTCTGCCTGAAACACCGTCGCGTATTTACCTAAGCTCAGTGAGATTCTTGTCTTTGGCTTGGCCCCATAAATACCGGCTCCTGATCCAAACTCAGTTTTGGAGCCGTCCGTATAGACAGCAATGTCTGCATTGATAGGAGGTCCTTCCTTCCATGCCTCTCTGTCCGTTATACTTATTTTAAAAGTTTTTTCAAAGCTATATTTTGGAATTATGCCATCCGTTGGCATTCCCATGATGGGGTCGCTTTCCAACTCTTCATATAGCTTTCTATAGTATTTACCGTGCGCGTTGCTTATGGGTGCTTGACCCCTTGACAATCTACTCACGACTGCTCTGGCTTCGCCTTGAATATATATTTGTAGTGGTGGTAGGTTCAAGAGGACCTCTAAAGCGGCTGTTGGAGTGGTTTTCATTGCACCAGTGGCACTCAGGCAAGCTTGCCTTTGAATAGCACTGAGCCTTCGAATCACTCCAGCCTGTTGTGTCTTTGGCCACCAAACTACTGACCCATATGCTATCATAGGCCTGATGACGCTGGCATAGAGCCATGTGGTCATTTTTGGTTGCAGTCCCCAATTTTTCCCGCACATTCGTCTGCACAGATTGAAGGCTACTGTACTTTTTTGAACAATTTTTTGTAGGTGTTGATTCCATGTTAACTTATGGTCAAAGATGACTCCTAAGTATTTTGCCTCTAGGGCGAACGGAATTTCTACCCCGTTGAGTACTGGTGACTTTAATCCTTCCAGTACTCTCTTTTTCGTGAAATTCACTATAGTGGTTTTATGAGGGTTCACGGTGAGTTCCTCCTCTTTACACCAATTGTCAATTATGTTTAGAGCGATTTGTGTGAGCTCCGAGACCGTACTTGCGAATCTACCTCTAGCGATAACCGCCAGGTCGTCGGCATATCCTAAGCAATAATACCCTTTGGATGTTAGCCTTTTGATCAGTTCGTCCATTAGAATGGCCCATAGTAGGGGTGATAATACTCCTCCCTGTGGGCATCCCCTATCTGCTCTAGCTGTCAGAGTTGTCTCGCCAATTGTGGATATGATAACCCTATTTTTCAAATTGACATTTATCCACTGGCACAGGAGTAGCGGTACTCCTTTCCTTGCTAGGGCATTAATTATAGAATTTGTTGATGCGTTATTGAAAGCACCTTCTATGTCTACGAATGTTGTTATAGCTATTTCTTTGTCCTCTATCGACTTTGCGAGTAGCCTGTTCAGATCATCCAGTGCTAAGTCAGTTGACTTGCCTGGCTGATACGCATATTGGCGTTCGTTGAGCGGGTTTCTTTGTAATACCTCGTCTCTTATGTATCTGTCTATCAGTCTTTCCAGCGTTTTGAGCAGGAACGACATTAGACTTATTGGGCGGTATGATTTTGGCGTTTTGTCACCCACCTTTCCCACTTTGGGAAGGTAGATGACTGTCACCTTCTGCCATACTATGGGTATATATCGTATTGCTATACAAGCCTTGAATATATGACACAAGTGTGGAATTAGTATTTCCTGCCCCTTTTGAAGCAGGATGGGGTATATTCCATCTACTCCAGAGGATTTATAAGGTTTAAATTTATTAATAGCCCACCTAATTCTGTTTGGCCTCGATATCTCTGTAGCTAGCCTCCATTCTATGGCAGTTGGCCTATTCGGCCTGCCAATGGTGCTGTCTGCCACTATCGGCTCATTTAGAATTACTGAGGCCGGAAAGTGTGCTTCAGTGAGCATTTTCAGACTCTCCTCAAAAGTTGCTGTGTAGGTATTGTCATTCTTCTTCAGAAAACCTACTTGGTTTACAGTACCTTCTTTGGCTAGCACTTTGTGGATCCTTGAACATGTGGGGGTTTCTGTGACCTCCTCACAGAACTTTTTCCACGATTGCCTTTTCGATTTCCTAATCTCTTTGTTGTACTGCGTGAGTTTAACCTTATATGTGGTCCAATTCTGGTCGAGTTTTGCTTTGTTGAATAGCCTTCGCACCTCCCCTCGTAGGGTTTCGAGATGCTTGTTCCACCAGATTGTTTTATTGCTTTGTTGTCTTGTTTTTTCCGGGCAGTTTCCTTCGTAGGCGGCAACTATTGCCTTGCTTACTTGGTCTACTGACCTCTCAAGACTGTGGCTGTCCCTTATGTTAGCCGTGGTCCTTTGTAGAGATTCTCTGAGTGATGTTGCGTATCCTTCCCAGTTGGTCTCTCTGGGGTTTCTGTACTTTGTTAAGGTACGAGGTGGGGTAATTATATCAAATCTTATTTGTCTATGGTCAGAACACGAAGGTTCATCTGACACATGCCAGTTGACGATATTATCACATGCTTTTTCTGACGAGAGAGTTATATCTAGAACTTCTTTCCTCGCTGCCGTGACAAATGTTGGTTCGCATCCTACATTAGCTATTAATAACCTTTCTGTTAGTATGAATTGCAAAAGTGACTCACCTCTTATGTTGACGTCTGTGCTTCCCCATACAGTATGGTGTGCATTTGCGTCGCATCCTATGATGAGTTGGAGGTTTGCCCTTGCCGCATATGCGATTACTTCGCCTAGTATCGGTGGTGGGCAAACCTCCTCGCCTGGGAAATACGCGGAGCTCACTATCCAGCTTCTGGTACCTTCCTCTGTCGGCGTGGTTAGGAGTCCTGTAACAACATCACCGGTGCAGAGCACCGGTATTAGTGTGCATTTTACTCTATCGCTATATACTATGCATGCGCGAGGTTTATTGTTACCTTCTACGTATAGTACTTTACCTTGGTTGGGTTTCAAGCCAGCTACCCTCCCTCCATGTAACCAGGGTTCTTGCAAGAGGGCCAGGTCGAGACCCTCTTTGTCAAATCTCCTACATACCATAGCGCTGGACGCCTTGGCATGATGGAGATTCAACTGCAGAACCCTGATCCTTCGGTTCAGTTCTGTGAACTGAACCCTTCTTCCGCCTTCTTCGAGGCATCTCCCTCCTCCATGGGTGCTGCGCTCTCATGTGCTATTTGCCTCTTGAGAGGGCTACTCCCACTTTGGGAGGACTCTGTCTCGTCCTCTTCTTGTGCCTCTTGGGCCTCCGGAATCGGCTCGGCGTGTTCTTCTTGTTCCTTGACACGTTTCCCCTTCTGTCTGAACTTAATTCTCCCTAGATTGAAGTAGGGAGACATGTCAAGTTTCACTAGTTCTTCCAGTGACTGTTTGTCCATGGAGAAGACCCAAGTTTGTCCTTTGGCCGCAGGAGTTTTGCCCCAAACCGTCCAAAGGTGCGTGTTTAGCCCATGATTTGCGACTTTAAGCCGGTGCAGAATTTTTTCCGCCTCCGGCTTTTGCCCTCTTTCATCAGGGATGAAGGTAGTGCAGGCGTAGGTTTCAGGTAAGTCATCTCCCTCCAACACTGTTAGGGTAGCTCCCTCCCAGGGTTTTATGGTTGGGATGACCTCCTTCAACCAGTCTGCACTAGTGCGATCCACGCACATCATAACCAAGTATCCCGGTTTATGAGTGCATTTTGCAAATCGCACTTGGGGTCCCTCTATGGGAATTTGATCTAGAGCCTCGGAGATTGAGTCCTGGACTTCTGTGAGCCTTTCAGTACTCATTTTCACCTCCGGGAAGCCCGTGTGTACCACAGCAACCTTTACTGAGGTAAGGGCATCTTTGAAGGATACTCCTTCGTGCCTTGGTTTCTTCCTCAGCTGGCTGGCCTGTGGCGGTGTCGCACTGGTTGACCGTGGTCGTTTCGTCGCTTTCGTGCCTTCACCGGCCTCCCTCGACGTTGTTGCTACAGGTCCCAACCTCAAGGGCTTTGCGGGTTCCTTGCTTTTTAAAAAGTTCTCCTTGATTACCAGCCTCTTGGCTGAAATGTAATCAAGGCCCTTTTCTAGGTGGGCTTTAAGCCTCAACCTCGAAGCTCCTCCGAGGTGTGCTATTTTCACCTCATCGTCTGATAGTAGCTCTAGTTCCTCTAGGGAAGATACTACTACCTTGTTTTTGGCTTTTGGTGCTTGCCCTTTTGTGGCCTTAGCACCAGGCGTGCCCGCCTTCTGTCTTGGGTTGGGTGTGGTCACCTCCGCCCTTCTGACAGGTTTTTTGTTTTTATTTTTTGAATCCATTCAGATCCCACGAGTAGCTAGGGAAGTTTTGGTCCGCTACGACAGAGCCCCGCATGCCGTAGTAAGGTCTTTGTACTCTGGGATTCGACCCTGTGTCCCAGAGGCTCCGTTCTTGATAGCACTCCCTGCTACCATCCAGTCCTCGGCACGGAAATCTCACACCTTGACTTGGGGGAATTTTTCGACCTACCTCGTCTAGATCCGCTGTGTTTAGTTTATGCAGGGTCACCTCGGGCAGGATGCGATTCTACATCGCGCACAGACGGTCTTGGTCATAGCTTCCTCGAGAGGTTTGCCCGACCTCCTCTGCTATTCCCCTGGGGTCGGTGGCCATGTAGCCGACCCCTTGACCCCTTCGAATAGGAGTTGTTCCGCTTCCAATATATGATTAACGATATCACTCATGAGGTCAGGTCGATTGAAAGTATTGGTTTGGAATCACGATTACTCAAATTTGTTTCAAAATTGTTTGATAAAAGTGAATAGTGATTGCCTATCACGATTTCTTCTGTACGACTTGATTATTCCTGAATATAAAAATATTATAACATTCATAACAGCCTGTTGCTGATACTATTAGAACTACCGAGAAAGTAAAATACAAAGACGTATTTCCGGAAAAACATCATGTCGGCACACAATAAGTATTTAATCGACAGCCGAAATACAAGAACTAAAACAGAATAGTCCAGACGAAATGAGTACAATCATTGTTAGTCGTATAATCAGTACAAATATCCAAAATGAAAAACACTGCTTAATCTATTCCAGTTACATTCATCACGTTTTGGATTTGGCACGAAAGAAATGCGAGCTGATTATGTATCTTCGATTGAAATCACCGTTGACTGAATTACAAGATATTGAAAGGTGAGTAGGTGGATGATCATTTTCTCGATATAGTCTTCAAGAACAGATGAGACATATCAGGTGAAATATTCCAGATGCATCTTGGGCACTTTCAAAATTAGTTTCTCACTGCATTTAACAACTGACTTACTGAACTTCATCGAAAATAGTGGTTATTCAGATCAATTGGTAGTAGCCTCATAGACCTCATTTGTCCTTGTTTATTTATTGGAAATGAACGAATAAACGACTTTGATACCTCTGTATCATAAAGCACTTTTTGTATGCCTTGGCTATTTGAAATATTAGCCTCACCTTCTTTTTTGACAGTGAGTTGTGTTTACTGGATACTGAGCCTAACTCAAAGACATATTATATACCAATATTTTATCCATTTCTGACAACAACATGAGATATTTGACAGACAAAACTGGTGATATAATCTTGGAGTATCATAATCATATATGAATTCTAAAAATCGGGCCCCACGTTGGGCGCCATTTATCTATAACAACTCTTTTGTTGTTTTGGAAAAGAAAAAGATTTTTATTTGTTATAGGCACGGCAGCTCGTTTGTTTGGGAGCAGGTCGTGGGTTAGTTCTTTTTATAGGTAACTAGTGGGGTTATCCTTTTGTCAGGCTCCACTCAGTTTTCGCAGCGAATTACTGAGAAAAATAATCCAAGATATAACTATAAGCCAAATTAACTGTTAACAGATTTATTCACCTTAACATGCCAACAATAGGTAATTAGAATGGTGGTGAATATGTTCTATGTTTCTAACTCATTACAAGGGTAGACATCCCTTCATATAGGCCTATACTTTGGGTTCACAGAGTCTCTAACAAACCCAATAATTCTATTATAATATGTAAAATCCGATCTTAGACTGTTATGTGTTAGCTACTAGTGTTTGAATATCTCATGACATTAGATAGTGAAATATAACTATTTAAATATCCTCAGACAGGAAAAAAAATATGTAGATCAAATGTCCTCAGACAAGGAAAAAAAAGTACATGTTAAATGTCCTCAGACAGGGAAAAAATATGCAAGTGAAATGTCCTCAGGACAGGGAAAAAAGTATATATGGAAAATTCTGACCTTAGCTGCAAGTTCTGGATTTTGAAACAACTGTGGTCCACTAGATCTCACTACCTGGATGAAACGAAGACACTCCTCCCTCAGTCGGCGGTAGGGGTAAGGTGTGCTAGGAAAACTGGATCCCCACACAGTTGACAGGAGTCACAACCACCTAGAGACCTGGGCACTTGGTGTATCCCAGGGCAACTGGATTCTGCACTGCAACTCTGGCAGACGGGTCCACAGGCTGCCACCAGGGCAAGCTCTTCCTACCATCCAAACTGGACCAGGACGTCTCACTATCTGACTGGGCTCTGGGAGTTCAGGCTCCAAAGTAACAAAATCCTAGGGATTAAGGATCAATCAACCATACCGGGAGTCTGGACTCCCCTGGACTTCCTGTCAGAAGTGAGGATCACTGGCTATCTGAACCAGAAGGGCTGCTAGGGACTTGCACTGTTGGCAGCAAGGATCCTGCCAGAAATCCCAGGCTGTCGGGTCCTATAGATGCCCAGAGACAAAACACAAGAAATCACCAGGGTCTTGCTTCCACCTTCAAGTGTGTTGGTGACTCAGGCTTCAAAGCACGAAGATCCCTCAGGTGCCTCAACCATCGAAAAAAGTGTCACGTGATGTCCAAACAGTGAAGTCCAGAAAACAGTTCAAGATTTCTCAATGCCCATAGTTGATGAATGATTCAATTTTTAGTGATCCATCCAGTTAACAGTGTTGATTGATAAAATTCAAGTCCAGAAACATAGCATGTGGTCAAAAGAAAATGGAGTTCATATCATCCACTTAGTCTGTACCCCTGCTCCCCTGTATAAGGCCGTGATATCTGAAATGTAGATACCCCATCGAATATCATTCACACAAGATGAGATTTGATATTTCTCACCTTCCTATCGGAAAGGCCTAACACAAAAGTAGGTGTCCACCACCTGACCTGATCGCACGAGAGTCAAAATCAAAAAGGGCTTCATTTTGGCTTCAGCACATGAAACCTTTTCGCAAGAGAAGGAATCAGCAAGAAGGATGAATAAACGGAAAATGCTCAAATAACAAGTTTCCGTCAATCAGAGCACTTTTGATCTATTGCAAAAAAATAATACAAACCAAATTCCGTCTCTGCGCAGTGTCAATCTAGCCAACCAAATAATATGATTCAAGTCAGATTCAGGGATGCAACTTGAAAGAAATATTAAATATCGATCATGACATCGATAGTCGATGCGATAGTCGATACATTAGTCGATACGATAGTCGATACATAACTGCGAATATCCCTGCACCATTACAGGTCACTGCTACTAAACGCGACAAACAGTCTTCTACTGGCAAGAGACTATAATGTTTACAACAATATTCATGGGCATCTGACAGGTGTGTAAGGTTGGATAAGAAGTGGACTAAAATAACCCAACAGTCATGGACATTGAAAATGAAAACATTTAACAAGATGGAATTACAAAGTACCTCAAAACCTAGAAAAGAAATCATTGAGTTACGAAGTGCAGCTCTACAAAGCTTCCCCATTACCTATTTGCAGAATTCACACTATGGAACATGAAAAGGCAAATTTTCATGTTACAATGGCTATAACAAAAAATATAATGAGCATCACCCACTGGCCTCAGAATTGAAGCCTTCGCTGCGCCTCAACTTGCAAAACGTTTACCTACATCATTTGAACTCGTCTTCTACTCAAATGAACCGTTATCATCCATATTGACAATGTGTTTTTCTTACATCTCTCAGGGTGCAGTTTACTCAATTCTACAGTTCATGAGGCGGGCATCTCACAAACTTTCAGAACCACTTAACCCAACTTCACCTGAAATGAATATGTGAATTTGGGTGGCATTGAAGTATAGGTAGTTGAAGATCACAATTTCAAGAGATTTTTTTGAATTGAATGACATGGTGTGAATAAAAGCATACCTTATAATTTTCTGATTTGAGTACAGTTGAAGGAAAGCGATCAATGTGGGATAGGGAGCACTTGAGGTCATCTGGCTATGTTGTCCATAGAGTCACTCAGAATGTAATGGTTCGAAAGAACAATATCAGAGACGAATACATTTTCTATCATCTACAGAAGTCAATCTGATGTAACAGCCTGATGTTGTTCATTGAAACTGAAAAGCTCTGAATACTAAAAGTCATATACTCTTCTTACCTCTGAACAGATTATTCCATTCCAGATCCCGAAAACTATATAATATTTACAAAATATACAAAGTTTTACTAAATTACAGCTTGCACCTATCTTTATTTGAGAATATTATCTGCTTTATAGCACATGATTCTAGTAGCGTAGGTAAAAATTTTAGTTGAAATAATATGGCGAATAACATCCAACTGCACTCAATGGAATTGTACACACCAATCGAATTCACGCCACATACCTATTTCATATCATTCAGTCCGTGTATGAATAGTACTTGATGCTATAATTTGTTATTTGAAATCATCGAGAATACTTTGTTTCATTATTTCAAAATCGGCAGCTTCTGGCACAAAGCATAACTATATAATTCGACGATGCCAATTTTATTACTGGTAATTGGTAAGGTGATTCTGAATTCGATGTAAATATTTCAAGGACGTTTTGTTGCGATCGAAGTAAGACTCTCTTCTTTTAAACTCATGTCCTAAATTACCCCCTCCGGCTGTCTGTGAGTTGAGTAAAAAAAAATAATAACCGAAATTATGCCTAAATTTGTGTCCGAGTGTAGAAGTGCCTTAGAAAATATGGCAAAAACTAGGAAAGTCAGCCTCATGTGGGTTCCAGGACACTCTGGTATCCCGGGGAACGAGGAGGCAGACAGACTAGCCAAGATCGGTTCAGGAACGACACCCATTGGACCAGAACCGATATTAGGAATACCTAATAGTACGGCTATGTCCTTCATGAAGAAAATGCTACAGAGGCAGTTCCTTGAAACATGACGGGACACACCAGGAATGAGACAATCAAAGCTCTATATAGAGGAACCTTCAAAAAGGCTCACGAGAGAGATCCTGTCACTTAATAGAAGGGATCTCAAGATGGTAGTTGGGCTCTTAACTGGGCATAATCACTTCAACAGGCACCTTGAACTCATATAGGAATCAAAGATGATCCCACCTGCAGATGGTGCTTGGAGGATGATGAAACATCATCACACATACTCGCTGAATGCCCCGCGCTGGTGCATCAGAGGAAAGCTGCCTTTGGGAGCATTGTACTGCACCCAAAGGATGTGAAAGTGACTCAGCTGAGGAAGCTGCTGAATTTCGTCAAAGAAATCGGCATGCCCAGCTGATTCACAGGACAAGTGGGCGCACAATGGGCCCGACTGAAGAGGCCTGAGTGCAGGGGTCTACGCACCCGCCCACCTGTGCAGAGAGGAAGAAAAGAAGAAGATCCGAAATTATGATAATATAATGCGACATGTGATCACCTCCGTATGCGAGCGTTTCAACCCATTGCGTTCGATAACGATGTCGTTCCTTCTCCTTCCGTTGAGTGCAATTTTCTGGCGAACGGAGAGTTAATGAAAAAAATGCGGGAGACCAAATTCTCACATTTTTTTATGACTTACAACATTATCTCATTCAAAGTCAGAGTAACTATCTTGAAACATGAAATTTGGGCCAATAAAAGTGTGGATCCCCCTTCAACTTCCCCAAAACTGGGTTCACATCATTTGTAGAGTAGGAAGAAAATCGAGTGTTCAAAAAGGCAAGGGCATGCCGATTTTCAGATGATTTGGTTTGTATCTTCAGTTACAATTTGTAGCTTGGAAAGAATGTATTTTAGGACACATGTATATATGTAGAGAAAGTCTCATTTTGATCCCAACAATATGTCTTCAGAATGTTCACATCGAACTTTAAACGGAATCCCACTTATACGCAGTGTTGAAACTATACATATATGAATGAAAAATGTCTACATCAAACAACAAACTATTATAAACGCTGAACACTCTGTGTAAGGGTGTATTTCGACCAAGATTAGTTCTACAAAATAGTTCACTGGAGAGTTTGTGGTTCCAAAAGTCCAAGTGCTGAAGAACCAACGAGATTATTCAATATTTTGAAAAGTAGAATCATATCTCTCCAAACCGTATGAAGTTTTTCTCAGATATGGAACGAAATGTCGTTCAAAAATTACTCGAAGAAAAATCATCTGCACTATTGGTCTTGAGGTTGAGAAATCCTGAAAATGAGATACTTGCAACATCTGATAAAACATGTATAACTTTCAATTTAAGCCGTGAATAAAACCTAGTATTCCGTTACAAGAAGCAATTAAACGGTCTGAATGCTGATTGAAATTCAATTTTGTATCAAAAATAACACCTTATTGATCTCTATATTAAGATTCACACTGTTGAAATTGTTTTCATATAAAATAGTGGTATTATTCCTAGTGACTGTTATATGGCGTCACTTGCTCAGGTTTAGTGGAAGTTCATTCTTGATGCGGTGATTATGAAATCTATTCAAATTCTTTTGTGTAAGAGATTGCAATCAGATATGCAATCGAAACTGGCATAAATTTTGATGTCATCCGCTTACATTTGAAATCTGGAAGCCAAATAACAATCTGAGACATCATTCATGATGATCATTGATAACACAGGCCCCAAATCTCGTCCCTGGGCAGAACCAGATGTAAAAGTGAATGATTCAGAACTATTGCCATTGAAAACACCCTATTGAATTGATATGAAGGAAACCATCTCAGAAGGTTCCCGTACACCCTGATTTCAGATAACTCATGAATTACAATAATATTGAATATCCACCTCCAGTCAAGAATCCTCAGATTCTTGATGAGGTACCTTGCTTTATTCTGTAATTTCAATATACGTATACTGAAGAATTACAATACGTTGTGAAATCGATAGCTACTTCTCTAAATTTCTTGTGATTCTCTCAGAATTATTTGAATAAAGATTATTATTATTATTATCATTATTATTTTATTTTGTGATTGATTTAATCAACTACCTCACTGAAAGATCCTTGGTCCTATCTCAACACTGATTTCGCAGCTTGTCATATTGATATTGCTATTATAGCAGATTTCTAGTATGGAAAGTGTCTAGATATAGGGGCGAATTTCAGTATCATTCTCCAACCAAATCAGATATTGGGACCTCTATTGACACTAACATCAATCGCATATTCACACGATGAAAAAAAAGAAAATAATTCGATGCAAAACTTACAAGATATCATTCGATATTGATACAATCAACAGTTTCAGGTATCCGTTATGTTATGAATAATTATCAAATTTCTTTATGAACATTTCAGAATCGTTGAAGAAGATAAAACATATGTTCAGGTGGGAAATATCGGTATTCAGGCAGATTCACACAGAGCTAATAAAATCGAAATTGGATATGAATCGAACATTTGGAGACACAAAGAGAGAGCATTGAAAATGGTGAAAATCTTTCAGTATGCGATGAAATTGAATCTGAAATACTCACTTGGTTTTCAGGCGGTCCTGTTGAATTGCAAGACATCTTCCACTCAAACTGGAAATTCATACAATATAGTACCGAAAGACACGCAGACATGGCTTCTTAAAGAAAATAACACACAAACCATGTCTGACAATCATTCAAATACTCCTGTTCCGATGCAATTCTTCAACGGGCTCAGAGGCAGAAAGGATGATAAGCAAGTTCAAATGGATTTTACTAGTGATACATTCATGTCAATATGCTGAATGCCCCAAATATTCGAGGGTTCATTTGCGTTCAGAAACTGAACAGATTAACCGTTCGAGTAAGATAGTTCTAATATTTGTAACACAGCGCGAGAATTCAATGGTTTTGAATGGTTTCTCCTGTTTTTCTCACGCAAACAACCATCGATTCATCAGGCTTCATCGTGGTGTCTCCTATGCTCATTTTATCGCTGTACATACACAAATCTCATATTTTGAGGAATTGATTACTAGGGTGCAACTTTATTGAACTCCAAAATATGATAAGATTGTTAACTCTGCTCAAATGAAAAACACACTAAATTGTAGAAAATAATAAAGAAGTTAAAGAAAATTAGAATACAATTGAAATTGATGAGGAATTCGAATTTTCTCATAACTTAAATGGTCGATCGACAAGATATGTTCGATTAATATAGAAACTGTTATCGAAATTAAATATCCTACATCTCAATTATAACTGTTGATAAAGACTCATCAATCCTCGACCTCAAAAAATGTCTCAAATTCGACAATGACAAATTACAGAAATTCTATTCCACCTGAGTTCGCAACTAAAACACAAGTTTGCTGACACATTCAAGTAGTTGGCCAGGTAGTCGTTTCAGAACAATTTTTCAGAAGGGTTGAAACGTCCAGTGGGTTCTGGATTGTTGGGTAATTTGAATATGGAACGCATCCTGTGTCGATGTTGAATTAATTGAAACTTCATGAATACCTTGTGAGACTCTCTTCAATTTCTGAATATCTCCTGAGTCAAATTGAACTAAAGAACTCTTCATCATGTTGCACTGATTTTATTCAATCCTTGTTCCCTACGGATGTCATGATCTGCCCTTATTCTTGTTATATCTCTCGTTAGTTCGCCATTCTTAATGTGATGTTTATCAAATTTATTTGATACGTTGATGATGTAATCTTTGATCAAGGGCAGATCATGACATTGATCATGTATGTTACCCACTCGAGTGTATCTATTACCGTTAGTAATGATTCGGAGTACCTTGTTCTGTAGTACCTGTAGCCTATTCAGTTGAGTGGCGGAGGCGCTACAGTACACTGGACAAGCGTATGAAATCACAGGTCTCATCATTTGCTTGTATAAGAGCAGTTTGTTATCCACTGATAGTCTGGTATTCCTGACCAACAATGGATACAACTGTCTTATGGCTGCATGGCCTTCACCAATTAATTTGGTAATAATGTTATCCCTGAAGCACATAGGCTCGTCCAGCACTACTCCCAGGTATTTCAGTGTGTTGTTGACCGTCACCCTCACGTCTTTGACAAGCAAAGGCCCGTGTATAGTACTGTTGATATATTTTTAAGTGAAATTTATAAACTTAGTCTTCTCATGATTGACACCCCCAGTAGCACAGAATATCGGCTGCAAATCGGCTCTGCATTGGCCCAATATTTGAATATCGTAAATCGGTCGGATGATATTGTAACGATATTGAATAAATGAGCTAGACGGATCAATATGAATACAATGTTGATAGGCTTACATTTTTCAGGATCTTGAGAATCCTACATTGTATCGATATTCATAATGACATATGTGATGAAATCTATATTCCTCCTATATCCTGATGATTTATGTCTCGATATTGATAAATCTTCATGATAGATATATTGATTGCCTGATATCAGTTCATATTACAACTGGATATGTAACCTATATCGATAGAATGTATCTTGGAGGATATTGCAATGAAACATCAGGTTCAATATCGTCACGTGGACTTCTTGATTTCATAGATGTATTCCATATCGAATACAAAACTGCTATTCAATGATGACATCTTAATATTCCACCAATATTGTTTGTGTGGATATTGGTAAATTATATGTATACAATAAAGAGTTGTATTCTTATGACACCATCATCTGTTTGATAATGAAGCAATATTGGGAAATGGAGATGACCTCGATATTGCAAAGAATCATCACGTTGGATATCGTGAGGTCGATCAATTTATTCAATATATGTGTACCATATCACAAACTCTATATGGATTCAATGATCAAATCCCAATATCCCAGCGATATTGTTCTAGTGGATTTCATCAGGATGAGGTTGCAGCAATATTGAGAAATGCAGATGATTTAGATATTGCGAAATATCATTATGTTCAATATTGTGAAACCGACTTCCTGATTCCATATATTTGTACCATAACCAGATCCCAATATTTATTCGATGCTGTGATCACAATGTGCAAGCAATAATATCATCCATAAATAGGAATGAAGATAATTCGATATTGGAAATAACTATTAGGATCAATATCGTGAGGTTTACTTTTTGTTTCCATTCATGTTAACCATATCAAAAACCCAAGGTCAATTCAATGATGAAATCTCAATATTAGAGCAATATTACCTATGCATATTTCAGTAAACTTTATGTATACAATATTGTGTTCTAATCTCTTGCAACTATCATCAAGATGATGAAAGAGCAATATTGTTAAATGAATATGATCATCATATTGCAAATAATCATTGTGTTCAATATTGTGAATCCAACTTCCTGATTCTATATATTTGTACCATAATCAGATCCCAATACTATTTCGATGTTGTCATCACAATGTGCAAGCAATATTATCCATCTTGAGTTCAGTCAGTTATATTGATATGATATTGAGGTGTAATCACTTGATACTATCAACAGGATGATAAAGGGATAATATTGAGGAATGAAGATAATTCTATATTGCAAATAATCATTAGGTTCAATATCGTGAGTTCAACTTCTTGATTCCATTAATGTGTACCACATCAAAAACTCAGTGTAAATTCAATGATACAATCTCAATATCAGAGCAATATTTCTAATGCTTATTCCAGTCAACTTTATGTATACAATATTGTGCTGTGATCTCTTTTGAAACTATCATCAAGATGATAATAGAGCAATCTCCATAAATGAATATGAATTTCATATTGCAAATAATCATAGTGTTCAATATTGTGGAACCAACTTCCTGATTCCATATATTTGTACCATAATCAGATCCCAATATCAATTCGATGTTGTCATCACAATGTGCAAGCGATATTATCCATCTTGAGTTCAGTCAGTTATATTGATATAATATTGAGGCGTAATCTCTAGATACTATCAACATGATGATAATGGAGCAATATTGAGAAATGAAGATTAGTTCAATATTGCTAGCAAACATCAGGTTCAATCTAGTGAAGTCACCTTATAGATTTCATATATGTGTACCATATCAAACACCTAATATCAATTCAATGATGAATTCTCAATATTAGAGCTTTCTCGCGCACGTTCGAGTGTTACCGTGAACGACAAGACTAGTCACCACTGTTGCCATCTTGGTTTTGTCACTAAATCTAGTATTTTCAGTAGTAATACTATAATACTATAAGTACTTCAAAAGATTAGGGCTAAACATCGATAACTTTTGTTGCATATAATTACGAAGAGTATCAGTTTAACAGTTGAAATAATCCGATCACGATGCGAAAGGATTATTATGTTGAACGGACACGATTATTTTTAATTGTGCAGAAAGTTTAAGATGCATAATCTTGAAGATTTCAAAGTTCGAATTGTATTCGATGCGATTATTTTTTGCGTAGTTCTGAACGAACGTCTAAATTTGACCATACGCTTTGTTTGTATGTAACAATATGCATTGATTAGTAAATGGAAATGGAAATAATTCTAAAAAAATGGCTGCTCCAAGATGGCGGACAAGATTTGGTCCCATTTCATTCAAAATTGGTAAATGGGGGTTTTTGAGGTCGACGATCATGATATTTTTGTTAAAATTTGTAAATTCAAGATGGCGGCTTCCAAATAAGTTTTTGTTTTTGTATAAATGACGATAACTCCGTTGTTATCAACACAAAACTATAACTGCGACATGTCATCTGTAAGAGGAAAAAAAGGTATTTGTACCTAAGTCATAGTGAGCTATGAGCTTCATTCGAACAACTAAAGTTGGTGCTGATATCTCAAATTCTAGAAGAAATATCATATTTTTTTCGAATTCACTTCGAAAAACTCCCATGAGAATGTGAAATTCCTATCTGAATATTTTCATGAATAAAGAAGTTACGGAGGAGACATGAAAATGATCAAAATTTGTTTTTTGCGTATAAAACAAAAACGAATAGATTTTATCAAAATATTTTTTCACATTATAGTTGGCCTTGACAAACTCCACATTTGGTGTAATTTAACCGACCTCGTATCTCTCACCGTTAAAAAGATACCCATCGTGAGCATGGTAAGTAGGACACACTGTATAAACAAATGCGCAAAGTGGAATAATACATAATTGGTGATGAAATGTTCATTTCAACACAAGTTATGAAATAAAACGAAATTATGAATGGATGAATAAGAGAATAGTGCATTTTGTGTTGCTTCCTCCATATCACTTGGGGATTCTGAACTTGTGCACAAATATTACATCAAACAAATGATTTTATTTATTGTGGAATTTCAATTCAAGATACACCTAGGTAGGCATTCCAGTTTTTTCACATTATTCTGATATTCTTGTCTGAACAAGAAATGTATGTTTCTAGTATAACGTGTCTACTAGTACACCCGACAACACTGTCGGGCAAATACCTCAGGTCATCTTTGACTATCTTTGCTCGACACTCACTAGCTCAGTTCTTTCAGTTGTCTCATAGAGTCTTCAAGCGTGTGGCGTGGATCGCGAGTGGTATATTATAACAGTTGTGCAAAAAATAATAAGGTAAAATTACTTATCCCAATTATTGATACTAGTTCAACTTTGATACAATTTTGATTATGTTCTTCCTTGCCATACCATGTGCTGATGCTGCAAAATCCAAAATTTTTTCGACCCCTCGATGCCCTCGTGCAGTTTGGTAGTTCAGTCAGAAAAATGTTTTTACCTACTTACTATGTAACAAGTATAAGTTAACCTATTGATATCATTCGAGTACTAAAATCCATGTACCTAAGTAAAATCGTAGATACTTTTTTGTTACGTACACATCAGTGTTCGCCATAAGTTATCCAGCAGCACACACAATGTGTACCTACTCATTTCAGCACGATATCGAAACAATATTGTTGAGAAGTTATTGGTACAATATTGGGGAATAATGATGGTATAATATAGGATTCCTAGATTTGGCAAAATATTGTACCTACATACCTACCTAAGTACAGATGCTTTATTAATAACGGTAATGCGATTTTTGAAACATATGAGTATTGTTCGATGATGAAACTTCAATAT